TATTTACCATGTGCCTGTGTGAGTAAGGGCCACATAAAGATATCAAGACAAGACACTAACTACTGTCAAGGGGAAAAGAGGAACATGTGCAATAAAATTAGCAGTGGTCCAGTTAAACCACAATGAAGGGCACAGGAGAAACACAAGTAAATTGCAATGAGAGCACAAGAGTCTCTCCTCTCACCATTGACACTGGGCGATGAATACAGGCCATCCCTATCCACTTCACAGGGCAGAAAGGTGCTCAGACATAATTCAGCTACCTTGGATTGCCAAAAGTATGCAACGAGTAGAAGACACTGATGAATACAGTTTCAGAATGTAAATGTAGGCTAAACTAGCAATTAAATTAAACCCCCACGACTTTGAAAATCAACTACAAATAGGCCGCACAAGTACCATTGGTTTTGCTTTCCTTTCCCAAGCTCTGTTTCTTTTTTTTCTTTCCTTTTTTTTCCCTAGTTCTGCCATTCACCTGAGGTGGGTAGGATTATTGATGAACATAATGTTGTCCTATTTTTTCTTGTAGCTAGTAAAGGGGGTTGCAGCTGTGAGATGCATAGGATGGGTCTAGAGCAACTTATGGCGGGGTTCTAACTCCAGTTCTGCTTATTGAATGACTTTGGGAAGGTCTGTTTAACCTCTACGCTGCAGTTTCTTCATCTATAAAAGGGTAATATTACTTATCTCCTACTGTTGTGAGACTCAAGCAAAATAACTTATTGTGCTAGATCCTAGAAAATTATAGCCGTTACCAGTATGATTATTATGCGTTTTGGTGGACATAGATGATGTTTTAAAGATAATTAAAAAATGCTTGATGGCATGCTCCACTTTGTGCTCAGTATGGAGTTTGAAATTCTTTACTGGTTTGAAATACACTTGGTTTCCCGGGCAGTAATAAATAACTGTTTTGGTGATGGGTGAGACTGATGGCTCCCTATAGGGTTGGCCATGGATGAACTGGGGACAGCGAATGGGGGGAAAAAGTGAATAATAATTATCAATGTGAAATAATGTGACTATCAATGAGAAAAATCTCTATGAATTGACTATGTAGGAAAGTGGCAATTTTATGCGCATGGATTTGTGTCATTTCTTCCTATATGGATAAAGATCTTCAACAAAATGTGTTGGTGACTAGTATTCTTAATCCACCTAAAATTTATACCTTCAAATAGCCTCTCTCTCAGTTCACTGGAAAAACTATGCTGTTATTTGGTCTCCAACTTCATCTTAAATACCCACAATCCTATGACTTCTTCCCCTCCTGGTGCTCTCTTACTGAGCTTCCCTGATTATGCTTTTTATTAGACTGAAAATGAAATGAAAATGATGATGCTATCAAGAAAATGATTTAACATGTGGATGACACTGCCTTACCAGGCCCTACACTTCGACATATGTATATTAATCAGGGCAGTTTAGATATTTTCTCATTGGTGTTTCTTTTTTTAAAATTGCAGTCCAAATTGTTATTTTTATCACTAGTAAATACCACATTATTGAGAATTCACTGGATGCATAGTAAGAAAATATACAAATGGATTTTACACAAAATGTGGATAGTGCAGAAGACACAAGACTCCAGAAGGAAGTTTCTGAAAGATACAGGGATAATATACTAAAATTCTTTACTGGTTTGAAATACACTTGGTTTCCCGGGCAGTAATAAATAACTGTTTTTGCAGCTCATTTGGGAGACAAAAAGTCTATAATTCCAGGCTCAGGAAATTATATGAGTGCCAGTCAATTGCCATATTTGGATTATCTCGTGTTATTATAAAACTTGGGGGATTTTAAGAGAACAATAAGAAAGTGCGTTGCCTTCCTCGAGTTTCGGAGACAACACCTGCTGCCCACCAGTGGGCCCCTATTTGCTGTAATTGCCAAGATATAAGACTTTGCCTTTAAGCCTTCATGCAAATTTAAGCACACAAAAGAGCAGTCGGACTGCCTGGTAGAGCAGGTTCAGTAGAGTGAAGGGGGTTTCTTGAGCCATATGGAATCCTTTTTTAAAGAAATAGACCAACTTTTGGAAGTAATTACTCTAACTTGTGTCAGTCCAGAGGAAAAAAGATACATACATCTAGTAGCCAGATTATTATGATCTCTGAATGCATAATAATCTGGCCACTCAATGATTATATATATATATATATATTAGAGGCCTGGTGCATGAATTCGTGCATGGGTGGGGTCCAGCCAGTCTGGCCAAGAGGAAGGGAGGTCATGGGTGATTGGCCAGCCTGCCTGCTGGTTGAACTCCTGGTCAAGGGGACAATTTGCATATTAGCCTTTTATTATACAGGAGGATATACACAGAGTGGCCAGATTATTACGTGTTCAGAGATCATAATAACCTGGCCACTCAGTGTATTTTGCTGTGTGTGGAGGAGAATGGCAGCAAATAGCACCCAGAACCAAATATAATTTCTCGTAACTATACAGAGGAGAAAAAGAATCCATCAACTTGACAAATGTTTTTCTATTTCATTTTCTGAAAAAGCCAGGGCACCTTCACCTTTATATACATGCATGCGTGTATGTATAAATACACATAGTATGTATGTGTGCAGGTGTGTATACAGATACACATACACATAATCTATAATCTTTGAGGACTTGGCAGCTGGGATGGAGACAGGGTCCTCGTTGAAAGTTTTTAAAATTGTTAATTATTTTTTAGGCCACATTGGATTTGATACTTATCCCAGGCAAATCCCTAAGGATACATCAGAGCACACACGCCATTCTGGGCATAGGCTGAAGGAGGACAGATTGAACAAGGAACAGCTAGTGAGGTCTTTCCTCACTGAAGGAAAAAGCACCAAGCTGGTTTTAGAACATGTGTGATTAGGCTTTGTTACAGCTACACATAAGACCGAATCTCTTTTTATTAGGAAGATCCCAGGTGTTAGCAATGAGGCAGCTGTCTCACAGCCAGGACAGATACCTTTGGCATCAAATGCCTAAATCTAATTTCTCAGTAAAACCTATATCCCTTCTCACCCTTAAAACCCTTTCCATACTGTTACATGCAATATCATGCCATGTTCTAACTTTATAACCTAACTCAATTACAAAAAAAAACAAAACAAAAAACAAAACAAAACAAAAAAACCCTGGGAAAAGCTGAATAATATAACAATAAAAGAATGGATTTTCCCTTTTAATGCAACTCTATAATAGACAGTCTTAAAACTCATGTCATGTAGCATTTGCATTTTATCTTATAATTCATGTGCATGAATGCATAGAGCTGCCATTTTTAAACTATAATATGCCAGGCGTCTATCGTTGTTGGTAGTTTTTGGACTTAAGGCCTTTTCAGTATAGCCACGTTGCGACAATAATATGTACGCATGGTTTTGTTACTGTGATAATAACAAGCCCTCGCTTAAAATAAAGTATATAGTGCTTAGTTGGGACTAGGAGCAATGACATACTTGCTTAGTAATTGGCAAATATTTTGCTTTCATCTAGTTTAACTAAAAATCAGAAAGAGAAAAATATTGTTCATATATACAAAACATTCTATTAAATAAAGTGTATGCACAAAATTATATATTGGTTAAGAAGCAAAATTAAAGAGAAAACAGCTTAGAGTATTCCTGATTAATCAGTGTTCCTAAATATAAAAACGAATGAAAATGCCTTGCGAGTTAAAAAAAAAAAAAAAAAGCACATTTTACAACTTTCACACACTTCAGGAGGAAACAGAGAGCTTGTGACACTGTTCTGAGGAATCTTTCATTTATAAAAATTGAAGGCCTAACTTTGCAAATACAACTTTCGAGCTGTATGAGCAAAATTAACTTACACGAAAGGCACAGGATGACATCACGTTGAAGAACGTATCCGTAAATTTCATAAAATCTAGTCACAAGTCACTAGGAACTTCATAAGGAATCCAAGAACCTTTTTGAACAATGATGTTCTGGTTCAAACCAAGAAGCGGAGAGTCTTTATATCAGAAATAACAAATCGAAGTGGGAGAGCAGAAGATTTAGAGAGAGGACAGCTTCTTATGTGAATGCTACCTTGCTTTTTGCAGTGCTCGCTACGAGACACTCAGAGCGGGTCATTAAAATGTTCTTGAGCTTAAGTTATTCGCAGTTTTCAACAGCTCACACCATAGTTTTTAGTTTGTAAAAAAATGTATTTGCACAGTACAACAATTTTAAAGAGTCAATCATTGAAAGGAGTTTTAAAGTAAGGTCCTGTTCTATGAGCTTCCTACATTGGAATACGAGAATACAGGAAGTGCTTTCAACAGAAAGCTACAGAGGTCTACAGTACAACCTGTCTACAGGACTTGCAGTGACTGGGTCTCTTTGGATCGGGCAAAAACAGAGGCAAGTGAAGAAATGAGTTTTGAAAATAACATTAAAAGTGCCTTTATGACAATGAAATCTTGCACTCAGATTTAGTGCTACTGAGAACTCAGATACAATGAAGCTCAGTGCATAAAGGGAAAATATCTGAAGGAAAAACAATTTCCAATGCGATTGAAACCCTTCAACATCAGATATGCCTTATCATAAAGTTGGAGAACTACTTTCTCTTATCAAAGCACATTCCAAACAGCAGGGACGGGCCAGTCAAAATATGCTTTATGGGTAATATGGAGAGTGATACTAAAACTGTGTTGCAACTAAAAATTCTAATCTTAAAAAAAATCACTGACGATTTTGACTTTTCAGGAAAGGAGTGGCTCTTTTGCTAAAGAACAAAATTCACTTCAACCAAAGCTCTGGAGGATCGGTAGCTTAACGATGATGATAGAGTTCATTGTCCCAAACTAGCTCTGCCAGACATACAACCTGTCTGCATTCATGTCAGAATTAGATGGTCTTCCCACAGAACTGAAAACATTTTGGTAGAACGTCGAAGGCGATCCTTCAAAGAATCACTCTCGTAACGATGGCCAGGTAAAAACCAGTAGCGTCGTCGCTGGAAGCACCGCTGCCTGGGGTCGCCAATGCTTGTCCTCCTCCTCACGACTCCAGTAACGCGTGCCACCTGCACACTTGCTGTCCTTTCGACTCTTTCATTTCGGTCCAGTGATTGAGTTCCTCCTCCCCAGAGCTGTTCAGACCTAGAGAAATCCAGCCTATCATCTCTTTTCTTTTCATGCTGCGCTTGTTATACACGGACAGGATAAGGGTCACATCAGAGAGCTGAAACAGGGCCACTTGAAAGACAAACGTCTCCTTGTACACCGGGTTTGGCTGCCCTCTGCGGATGGATGTCTTGCATTTAGACATTTCTTGACCCATGGAATTGAGGAGAGTTAACTTAACATATGTATCTGTAGAAAAACAAACACAAAAACACAGAACAACATACCACAAATATCATTTGAGAAAAACTAAAAAAAAAAAAAAAATCTTTCTTGTAACATGTGCTGAGAAAATGACTTGTGCTTTATAAGGATATGGTGTATACTGCGTTTAATGGAAATTCAACTAATTCCATTTTGATGTAGATGCTTATAATATGTGACAGGTACAGAGAATGCTAAGGAGGCAGAAAATCTTTTGGGGATACTCATATCTTAACCTTACTATTTCTAACTTAGAGTTAGAATTTAAAGGTATACCTCATAATCCTTCCCCTGCCCTCCCAGTCATTCCTTGACCGCCCATGACCACCCAGGACCACCCACCCCCCATCCCATCCCATTTAGCTTCACTAAGCAGGACATCATAGCATTAATAAACACTTAGCAAGCTCAATTAGCCACAACACTGTAAAGCATTCCACTGTGTTTTCAGAGAATAAGGATAAACAAACAAATAGACATGAAGGCAAATGATAAAGAGAAAAAGAGGAAGACAGGAATGCAAGGATGACATCAAAACAGCTTAGGATGAAATGTCAAAAAAATCTCTGCATGGATGTGGTTTTTAATTACATTTTAAAACTATTGAAGAGCCAAAAACGAAGCCAAATGCATTAAGGGCTCATCAGCAAGTCAAGTAAAACTTTCTCCTGGATTCATGCAAGAGTACATTTAATGTGCTTTCTGGGGAGTCAAAATAGATACTACAGGGTTCCTTTTTTTTTTTTTTTTTTTTTGACACAATTCAACATCCAATTGTAAGAATGAATCTGAACTATGTTCATGAATTAGAAAAAATAAAACTGAGGTGATGTTTAGTGTACAGAGTGAAACGTAACAGTCCATTGCCTGATTATTTGGGAGATAAGCCCTCTCTTCAAACAACTGTGTTTTCAAGGTCATTTGATTCATGCAGATGACCTTCAGCATGTTGATCCATCATGTGTACTTCTTATCAAAATTTCAATTAATTTTAATGAAAATTGCAGTATTTCTGATGAAGTAACTATATTTCTGTTGTATGAGTCAAAATACAATGAATGGGAAAAAAAGCCTTTAATTTAAAAAGTTTTGCTTACTTTATACTCTGAATACCATCATCCATAATCAGAGATAAATTCTAAGTTAGTTTTACTTAAAGTACCACAGATAATAAATGTGCATATTTTGAAACCAACATGGTGGACAGCTTCACTGCTGGCAAGTTTTAGGGTAAAATTTTTTTTTTTTTTGCATGAAAAGACAACATCCAATTAGCCTCTACAGGAACTCACCTCGGATTATATAAACCTGTCCACCTATCAAGTGTTTTAGACAACAGAACAGTCCATCTGACAACAGGGGGTGGAAAGCAGTAAAAGAAATAATGACCAGATGTCAATTGTTGGGTGAAAGAGGGTCAAAGGTTAGAATTAAAGAGGAAACACTGTTCATTGGAGTGGAAGAACACAAAAGTTTAGCATTTTAATTCAGGTAGAGGGCTGAACAAAAGGGTCGTTGGGCAAAACTCATGAAATGAGAATTGTTAAGGTCATTGTGTAATCTGAAACAAAAATTACAGTGTTTTCTAAAGGGGGACATCTTTATAATGATATCCTCTTGGACTAAAGCACATTGAACATAGAAGCATGCAAATTATCAGGCTATAAAAGACTGAATAAAAGTCGTTACAGGATCACTGTTATTATTATCCTAACTGTTTAAGTTTATCCATGCAATACTTAATATTTCAAATACTTTCATTACTCTCGATGTAATATAAAATTAAGTGATGGAAAGTAAAATAGAATTACCAAATAAAATTTCCCATTGAATACTGTTATTGTTTTCTTTGGTTAAAAATTGGATTATTCCGTTTATAACACAGTTCAAAGCTTAGTACCTAGGTAGATGCGAAGGGTCACAATTTTATATAATATATACAGAATAAGATGAACTGACAAATCTGTCTTATATTTCACTTTATTATTTTATATTTTACCCTGTATAACTAATTTTAATGTTGACTTATATTCATTTCAACATCCTGATACTGAAGATCTAACTCTAAAATAATGAAATTGATTTAACTTACATTTTAAAACCGGAAAGATCTGCCTTATATTATGGATGCTAATCTCTTAACCTCTTTTACTCTGCTCCCTTCATTTTGAGTCTGATTAGTGATTTTCTGTTTCTATTGAAGTGGGTAAAACAAGGACAGAAAGGCAAACATCACTTCATTCTGCTATTTTTTAGCATCTCAAGTTAAATATTTGTCAAAAAATTAAACTATTAGCTAAAGCAAGAATGAAGGGCAAACATAACATATGGCTAAACGGAACCCCAAAAGTATCTTATCTGTTGTGGTGATAACAAAAACTTCCCATCTGAATGTCTAATTCAGAGTGTGTACACTCTCCCGTTTGTCATGGGCCTCACCATGCTCCTTATCTTTCATCCACAACCTCTGCTCATGTAAGTTACTTCCCAGGCCATTAGAGTTTGCATTCTAAGTGTGAATTAATGAAGAAAACCAAGTAGCTGTTTATTCTAATAACTGTTTCTTTATACCCTCTGAAATTTTCGTTCTGAAAAGAGGAAGGGGACAATAATAAATCCATCCTCCTTTTATGCACCTTTATCTGTTTGAGTCTCACAGTTACCCTGTGAGAAACGCAACCTTAATTTTATGTATAAGGAAACAGACTTAAGGGGAGTTAGGGCACTTGTCCAAGGTAGAAATATGACCATAACTTTGGCCTTCTGACTTTTATTTCAGGGATGTATATAAGAAGCCAGGTTTCCAAGACTACTTAGAGCAAATCAGATATGTATTTATGACTTTTCAGTTTGATTGGGGAAAAAAAAAAGAAGCTAATTCAAGGGTAGAAAAAGTTTTTTCTCCTTCAAGAACTATTTGATAATTAGAGTAGGAGATTGCTTTAAGCAAGTCTGAAAGAAATATTTAAACAAATTTAAAGTGACCATTATTATTCAAAATTTCCAAATTTTTAGTTTGGGGCATTAAACAGGTTTAATTTAGAGAAGTACAAAAAAGCTGCTATTCCAAGTTTGTGTTCATAGATTTCAACAAATAGTTTTGGGCATTCCTCTGTTCTTCCATAAACTTACCTTGAGCTGGAAGAGAAATTAGGAGTTGGAAGAGTGAGAGGCATAGAGACAGGGCAGAGGTATACTATCTAGTTTCCCTTCCTAGCAGTTGGGGTAAATACAAAAATATTCCTTACTCTACTGGTCCTGGTAAAACCAAAGCACATTCCATTTAAGAAAAGACTCTGGTGACAGAACTGACTTATAATGTTAAAGAAGAAAAATGTGAAGAAAAAAAACAACACAGTTTCTTCTTAAATTGTTAAGGGAGAAAAGTGTCTAGTTCTGCATGCAGACAGATCACACAGCATCAATCTTCAGGTAACAGCAATAACTACCCATATTCCTGATTATCTTGGTGGAATATTGATAACTTAAAAAGACCCTGTAACCTTTTCTGGCATTGGAAGATAATGGTTATAACGAGGAAAATTTATTCCACTGACATTAGAAAAATTAAGTCTCGACACCTTACAATCCATAAGTTGCATTTGAAATTTTTCTACTCCCCAAATGACTGGAAATAGAAATCATGAAGCAGATTAGCTGATGGTTATTACACCATTTCATTTTGATCAGTTAAGACTAAATGGTAGGACTGAAAGCTCCTAACACTGAGATTCCCATAAGTGCAGAAAACATTAGAATTAGAAAAAACAAACATTTTCCACTCACTGGGTGGTCTGTTTGCTGCCAAGTTTTTGAAGTGGCTGCCTTTGATGACTTCTGCCGATAGTCTGCCAGTGGTGGCGTTATAAAGCAGGCCAATGAGGATTTCTGGAACTGAGCCATGCTCAAGAGACTGACAGGAGGATGTGCTTCTGCTACAGGACACTTCGGACATGCTCATTTGGGAATCACAGCCCTGTAATCAAAAGCGAAATCTTTATAGGACTTTGTAAAAAAAAAAAAAAAAAAAAAAAAATATATATATATATATATATATGTTAATGCATGTTTAGTGGAATTAGGCAAGTAAATCACAATAAAGATGAAATTTTAAAGATAAAATTTCCTTATACTTTCCTTTGAAATGCAAGATCTAATGCAAACACTAGACTAGAAATGTTGTTCGGAGCATATTTTAGTCTCTGGATCTCTTTTCATTATATAGCAGTCAAAGAAATGATAGATGAGGTTTTATAAATCCATGGATATTTACATACAAATCAGAGAAGTTAAATTTCTTAATCTCACAGACATTAATAAACTGTCTATTTTCATAATGTAAGAAATTGTGTTGTTTAAAGACTTATTGACCTTAAAAGACTGAGACTGATTTAGACTCAATTACATTAAATGTAAACGTTTTTAACAATGTCTTTAAAGACAATGATTAGCACACTTTCATTAAGTAAATAAGATAAAACAATATTCTATTTATAAATCAACATGTAAAACACGGAAATACAGAAAATTGGGGGAAAAAAGATGGAAAAATTAACTATGCAAATAATAACCAAAGGAAAATTGACATAGCTACATTAGTCAAATTTGGTTTTAAGGCAATAACCATTATTTAGAGATGAAGAGATACACTCAATAATGATACAGTAATAATCCTTACACTCAATAATAATCCTTACAAGGAAGATAAAGTAATTCCAAATTTACAGGCACTAACAACATAGGGTCAAAACATATAAAGCAAAAACTGCCAGAACTAGAGAAACAAATTCACACCAGTATAGACTCAGTATGTACACTTGTTTCAAGAACTGACAGCACAGAGAGAAATAAACATAGTAAAAGAAAGTAGGAGATTTGAATATCACAATAAGAAAATTGATCTAATGGTAATACATAGAACACCATACCTTACAGAATATACATTTTTCTCAAGCTCACAGTGGAATTTTTATAAGTATTTACAAAAATAAAAGCAAATTAATGATGAATTTCAAATAATGGAAATCTTCAGAATGTTTTTTAATTTAGAAATCTAAGCTATCTTCTTGTAAAGAAAAAATTCCTATATCACTGGAAATTAAGGAAACATTTTTAAATAACCCATAGGTAATGAAATGATAATGAAAATAAGTTACTTAAAAACATTAATAAAAATAGATAAATGTTGAAGAGTTTAATTAAGAGAAAAGAAGGGTACAAATGCCAAATATCAGTAATAAGAAAGGAGACATCACTACATAGCCTGTAAGCCATAAAAAGGCAAAAGGATAGTATGAAGACTCTTCCAATAAATTGAAAATTAAAAAAATATATATATAAATATATATTTAAAAAAATAAAAAATATATAAATATATATATTTTATTGATATTTTACAGAGAGGAAAGGAGAGGGATAGAGATTAGAATCATCAATCAGCTGCCTCCTGCACACCTCCTACTGGGGATGTGCCTGCAACCAAGGTACATGCCCTTGATGGGAATCGAACCTGGGGCCCTTGAGTCCACATGCCAACACTTTATCCACTGAGCCAAACCAGATAGGGCTAAATTGGGAATTTTGGTGAAATAGACATATTCATAGAAAATGATAAACAAAATCGACACAAGAAGAAACAGAGTAAACAGTGTTACTGGAAAAGTTTAATTTGCAATTAAAAACTTAAAAAAACACACACACAAAAAAACCCTAAAAACTAGGTTTATGGCTTCACCAGTGAATTCTAATTAATAATGCTAAACTTACCCACATTTTTCCAGACAGAAGTAGGAAAGAAGAAACACTCCCTAGCTTCCTTTAAAAATCTAGCAAAACCATCAAACAAAAATCAGACAAGGACATTATAAAAAGTTACAGGATTTTCTCATTCATGAACATAGATTCAAAACCCTAACTAAACAGTTAGCAAACCAAATCTAACAATCTCTAACATCATAGTTAATAGAATTTTTTTTTTTTTTTAACTTTTTCCCTTTGAAATTGGGGATGTGACAATGATGTCAACTATTACCACTTCTAGTAACGCTGCAGTGGAGATCCCCGCCAGTGGAGGCCTAGCCTCTCTAAAAAACAGTAAAACGAAATGAAAGGTATAATGATCTGGAAGAGGAGGTTAAACAGTCCTATGGGCAGATTATGTAACTATCCACACACGAAATCTAAACTAATCCACAGATGAGTAATGGTGGCCTACAAAGGTAAAAATTTACACCTCTACATTGCTGAATGCCAGCAACAACTTTGAAAATAAAATTTATCTTAAAATAGGATTTATTAGAGCATGAAATACAAAATACTTAGGAGTAAATAAATGATACGCAAGGCCGCTCTACAGAAAACTACAAATATTACTGAGAGAAATTTAAAAGTGTTTTGTAGGTAGGCTCGATTTTATAACATCGTCTCGAAATTGCTCTATAGATCAAAGGTAATCACAATAAAAATTTCAACAGATTTCTTTGTGGAATTAATAAGCTAATTCTAAAATATATGTGGAATATACATAAAATGGAATATTATTCAGCCGTCTGTGACAACGTGGATGAGCCTAGAGGATGTTATATTAAGTGAAACAAGCCAGTCATAGGCATTTACTGCATGATTCCACTTATCTGAGGTCTCTAAAACAGTCACACTCAATAGAAGCAGAGAGTAGAATGATGGCTGCCAAGCGCTGGGTGGAGGGAGAAATGAAAGTTGTGTTCAATGGGTCTGAAGTCCAATTATGCAAGATGAGTAAGTTCCAGAGATCTGCTATACAACATAGTACCTCTAGTTAACAAGACTGCATAACACATTTAAGCATTTGTTAAATGACATATGTTAAAATATTCTTACCACAATAAAAATAATATACAAGCCAGGGAGCCTGCTCTAGTATCAAAATTTATTATAAAGCTATATTACTTAAGACAATGACAAAAAACAACAACAATGTAAAACAGACCAATAGAATAGAAAGCCCACAAATTAATCTGTGCATATAGACACTTAATTTACAACAAATAATGGAACCACCAAGTAGTGGGGAAAGGATCATCTTTTTAATAAATAGTGGTAGGACAATTGGTTATCCACATAGAAATAAATGAAAATTAAACCCTCCTTCAAAGCATACCAAAAATTCAATTCTAGATTTAAATGAAAAAAGGAAAAATAATAAATCTATACATAGGAAACTATATGATTTCAACATCTCCTGTGTTGAGCATCTGCCCCTTGGTGTTCAGTGCACATCATAGTGACCAGTCATTCCACCCGTCAATTTGCATATTAACTTTTTATTATATAGGATAGAGGCCTGGTGCACAGGTGGGGGTCCCTGCTATGGGGGGGAGCCAGCAGGGGCAAGGGGCCGTGGTCATTCTGGTCATACTGATCATAAAGGTCATTCCGCTGTTTTGGTCACTGGGCTGTTATTATATAAGATGGCCCCAAACAGTAGAATGGATAACTTGTGGTGAGTTCATATAATAAAATAACTATACTGTATAATATACACTACATAGCAAAAATAACTACATTTTCAAACATAACTTTGAGAGAAAAATGCTGAATCTAAAAGGATAGTTAGCTGCGTCATTCAATCTATGTAAATTTCAACAACAGCAACAAAGACACAACCAAACCTTACTTCCCTTAGGCATGCATCTCCTAACCGCTAAGCTCCCCAGGAGACTTGCAACCAGGGAGCACTGGGCAGCAGCAGGTCCTCTCGGCCTACACCCCTGAGCCTGTCTCCACCGCCCCCTTTTCTCCCACTTCTCCGTGAGTCGATAGCAGCCGCACCCAGGCCCAGTTCTTCTCTCGGTGTTTTTAGCCTCTCCTGTAGCTTCTTCTATCCGAAGCCCGCCCTTGTTCCGCGGGCCCGAGCTTTAGCAAGCGTGCCCTCAAAATAAAACACACACACCAAAACCAAAGGCCTGGCAAAACCAAATCATGGTATTTCAGAGCCACGAATAGGTAGTGAAATTATTATAAAGAAGTCACGAAAGTGATCAGTATCAGTCAAAACTGTGGTTAACTCTAGACAGGGGGAGAGAAGGACTAGTGGTTGGGAAAGGCCTGTGGAGGGCTTCTGGGGTCACTGCCACTTTATTTCTTGACCCGGATGTAGTTCCATGGGTAGTAAGTTTTTGTTTTCAACATTAATGTGTGTTGGGTTTCATCAGAAAAAAAGGTTTCATAAAAGAATTACATGCTATAATATATCTAAACTAACATACATGGATAAAAATACAGATTCAGCCGAAGCCAGTTTGGCTCAGTGGTAGAGCGTCGGTCTGCGGACTGAAAGGTCCCAGGTTCGATTCTGGGCAAGGGCATGTACGTTGGTTGCGGGCACATACCCAGTAGGGGGTATGCAAGAGGCAGCTGGTCGATGTTTCTCTCTCATCGACCTTTCTAGCTCTCTCTCTCCCTTCCTCTCTGTAAAAAAATCAATAAAAATATTTTTAAAAAATACATATTCAGGGTTTTCATGGAAGATTCCCTAAAGGGATCCACTCCATGAGTTAAATAAAAAGACTACAATATGTGCTTTTTTTTGTAACAGATTTTTAGATTTAGCAAGCTTTAGATTTTTTTAAAAAAAATCTGAAAATGCCTTAAATGAATCTTCAAATTTGAATCTACTGCTGGCTATGTGAGTGAAGAAGAATTAATACATACTGGGACTGAATGAACTCATTAGACTAATATTCAGAGGGATAACATCTCATATTTTCCAATTTAACTCTAAACCAGCGGAGAAAGCCAAAAGGAAAATGCAGCGTACACTTGTAAATCATGGGTCTACAAAACACAGAACTTGGTATGTTTTCATGCCAGTTGGAGGAGAGCACAATTTTAGTAAGTCTCAATTAGCCTGCATCATCACTTAGGAAAACAGTGTCAAAAACACGCCTGTGCACATTTGGTGCCCTCGCTCCATGGGGCTATTATCCTCGCAGCATC